ATACAATTAGTCCCCTGCATTTAAGGCTCCAGTTCAGCAGCAGCACTTTGCACTGTAGCTGCTAACCTACAGAGGTGACCACAGAACTCTTGGGCAGTGTTGGTTTCCTACAGCCGATTCCTGTCTCACAGTCATGGTAAGAGGTGTGGGTGAGCGGGTTGCCCACTCTGGCACCCCAATCCCCCTAAACCTTTGAATCCCTTCCTCTACATTCAACCACATTTCCAACTCTACTGTCGTGGGCCATCTTCCAGCCCATGTTTTAGCCAATCTGCCAAACGAACTGGCAGAGCCCTGCTAATCCCACAAGGTAAACCATTAAATCCAGAATCTCTGTTTCGTGGGGCCATGTCAGTAAATTTGGCCTAATTCAACTTTATGTGCCTTCCACCAGTATCCCATATTCCTTTTGTGTGTGTGTGTGTGTGTGTGTGTGTGTGTGTGTGTGTGTGTGTTTATTTTTGATATAGACAGAGTGCGAGCAGGCAGGGGCAGAGAGAGAGGGAGAGAGAGACTCCCAAGTAGGCTCCATGCTTGTCAGCACAGAGCCCGACGCGGGGTTGGAACTCACGAACTGTGAGATCCTAACCTGAGCCGAAATCAAGAGCCAGATGCTTCACCGACTGAGTCACCCAGGCGCCCCCCATCCTACATCATTAATATCTATCTCAACACACATTCCTCAGAATTCTGTCTGTAGAAATTGAAAAAAGAAATCATTTTGCATAGGCGTATCCAGTGCTGATACTTTATATATTTCTGTAGCTGTATTAGTGTTGTCTTTCATACTGGAAATAGAATCACTGGTGCCTTTAAATCTAATCAGATGAGAGAACAATTCTGGAAACCCCAGTACCAATTCACACAACTTCTCCTTAAAGGTTCTATTCCTCTAAAACCACTCTTGGTTCCAGAATCAGTCAGTCAGGATTCTCCAGACAAACAGAACCCCTATGTATGTATGTACACAAACATATATACATATACATAAATATAAATATTTATGTATGCATATGGAGACACACACACACACACACACACACACACACACGCACACATGTGAAGAGAGAGATTTTAAGGAATTGGCGACATGACTTGGTGGCTGGCAAGTCTGAAACCTTTACATCAGCCTGGCAGGCTGGAACTCTCAGGCAGTTGATAGTGCTGTCTTCAGGCCGATTTCTTTCTTCAGAGAATCCTCAGCGTTTGCTTTTAAGGCCCTCTGACTTATTGGATAAGGCTGATGCATATTATGAGGATAATTTCCTATAATTAAAGTAAGTCGATTATAGATATTATCCACATGTACAAAGTTTTTCATGGCATAACCTAGATCAGATTTTGGTTGACTAACTGAGGACTATACCGTAGTCAATTTGACACATAAAGTTAACTCTTACAAATACCAAGCCTTTTTTATTCCAGAGTCTGCAGGTTGGCTGTGAGTAAGTCTATTTAGGTAGGGCGTGAGGGTGTCTCTGCTTCACCCTATGTTCTGTGGGCCATTTAGGAAAGTTTTCCTTTATGTATGTCATCGCGGGGCCAGGCTAAGTGGAGGGCGGCTTCTTGAGAAGGCTCTTCTCATGCAAGAAAGACAAGAGAGCAGGTGGGAACATGTGAGGCCATTAAAGAAACCAATATATGGTCACTTCACTATTGGCAGGAGCAAGTCACATGGTCAAGTCCAGAGTCAATGTATGGACAAGCCACGCTCTCCATGATAAATATATGGCATGGAAGAGGATGCCAGGAAAGATACAGAATCTGGGTCAATCATTCAACCTTCCACAAGTATTTGCATATGGTAGCTTAGAGTTATTTACAGCCTTGACATCTTTTATCGTATCTGTAGAGAACTACGAGTTATCAGTATCACTTTCACCCAAATGATAGTGTTCATCTAAAAGATATTCTTTTGCTGTGGTGTTTCATTTTTCAAACCTATTTTTATTTGTTACTAAGTCAGATACTTTATTATGGATATATTTGTTATTTGATGAAGGCTGTCCCCAACTAAATATAATTTATTTCTGACATCATAGGTGGTTTTATATAAATGGGAAGAAGCTAAAGGGATCAGGTAGAGTTATATGTTTGCTTTCACTTGGAGGAACAGCTGGAGGTTTAGTCTAATTTTGCCTGGATAAATATTACTGTGGTGCACCCTTAGGATAAATATTACTATGGTGTACCCTTACAACATGGTTATCATGTGCACGTGTACTTCCTTGCTGGAAATAAATAAATGGGGGAGGAAGAGGCATATCTTTTATCCAGAGTAATTTCATATAATTCATGTAGACACTTCACCCTCAAGGAAGGAAAACATACCTCTCCACTTCTTAAGTAGAAGCTGCTTATAGTGACTTCCAGCCAAAGAGTAAAGTGTGGAGAGAGGGGGAAAAAGAGTAACTTACCCGTGGGGAAGCCTGACACTCTCCCAGCCGGGAGGTCAAGGTCAGCCTCCCCAGTGAGAAGTCCTGATGACAGTGTGAACCTGTCATATGCTGGTGAAATGGCACTTACCTCTGTGGCATCCTCCCCAGATCTCTTAGCTCTAGTATAATCATGAGAAAAACATCAGAATAATTCCAATGGAAGTACACTCTACAAATCACTGACTAGTACTCCTCAAAACTGCCAAAGTCATTAAAAAAAAAACAAGGTCTGAGAAACAGTCACAGCCAAGAGGAGCCTGAGATGTGGTGAAGAAATATAACACAGTGTCTAATGCAAGATGTTAATAATAGGGGAAAAAGAGCGTGGGGTGTATGGGACTCACCTGGCCATTTTCACAATATTTATGTAAATGTAAAGCTGTTCTGACATAAAAGTTTATAGAAAAAAA